GGCTGCCTTTGTTTTGCTCAGCGGTGACGATGTTGTCGCTACAAGTCACAACGTGAACTTGGTTTTAACCTTAGATCTTATGTTGTAACAAATGGTTTTACCGATAACGATTTCATATATTTAATGTCACCCTGGCAGTTAAAATATGGGTACGGTAATACACTTTTCTAGACCACATGTTCATTTTTAATCGTGTTGAAAAAACTTGCAACTTTTTGTTCGGTGGTGTTTTCAACTCACGGTGAACTGCTATGATAACAAGCCGGAATTTTCAGTTTTCACACCTTAAAACAATGAACCAGTTACCCTGAGCATGATGAATCATTTTTGGAAGACAATGAGTGATGGCTTGTTTTGTAAACAATTCTTTTTCTGGGACCAGGGCGCACAGGAAATATAACAGGGCGTTGACAATTTAAACAGGGCGCCAATTTCAGATAACAGGGCTCGGCACCCTGTTAAAACCCCTCGTGGAGAACCCTGGCTACGTTTCACTGTTATTATTACTCAGTAATGATTATAATAACGTACAAAAAATAAAATGCAAGTAAAATTCAACTTAATTTCATAGTAAGCGAATGATTCTGGTCGCATGTAAATGCTTGATGCAATACGATATCCGCCATGTTATCTGTGTAGGAGTTGTCCTGGAACGCCTAATTAACCATCAAAATGCTGGATGATGACGTGTTCAAATTACGATAGCTCATTTAAAATAATGTATGTTAATGTATGAACGCAACACGGAAGAGATTTATCAATGTTTGCGATCTTTTGGCTTTGATTTTTATGGGAAAATGGCATGATTTTTTTTTTTAATCAAGAAATTAGTTATTTCAAAAGTTAAACTGAGCATTTGAAGAATAATTTAACATTGTTTACTGTGAAACAGAACATTTTCGTGTAGTTTTAATTTAATGTGCAAATTCGCGAAATAAAAAACCATGCCAATTTTTTCTACTTCTACAGTAGACAAAGAGAATATAGGCCGATTTCTTAAAATTTGTTAGAAACAAAACTAAATTTGTTGTATAAATGCTAATCGTACAATAGAAGTGAGGGACTTCCGTGATCACGTCTATCACTACTAACCAGGCCAGTAGTCGATATGTAGCCACCTATATAACAAATAGGATTACATGAAACAATGCATGGTAACTCACCTTCAGTAAAGAAGACATGTGCTTTCTTATACATAATTTTATGATAGTCTTTAAAGTCACTAATCAACAATCGAACAGACTGTAAACAAACAAGAAAATAAACTATAAACTATACTATCTGACTGTTTCTGCTAAATTTTGATGAAATCTAATCATGACCTTGAAAAGTCACACATCCTGGTAATTATGGCAGTACAATACAAGATATCATGGAAGTTTGAAAACTGTTATAAAGGGCAAAAATCAACATACACTATTGGTAATCATATAACAATGAATTGTCCCCAGAATGGACCAGAATATGTCCCCAGAATGGACCAGAATATGTCACAAGGTGCATTTTACTAAAAATAAATATACTGTTATAAGATTTACCTTTTCTGATGGAGTCAATAGGTACACAGCTTCCATTGATGGTAATGGTTCACGACGCTTACAGATATCTTCCACAACTGTATAAAAACACAACATGGAGTTAGGAACCATGCATATCGTATTATACACTGTCCTATAACATAGTAATACCGTACTCAGCCGCGTTAGTGCCCATGCTCAGGCAAGCACCCACCCCCCACTTTTGCGCAATTTTTATATTTGGGGTCACATTCTGCAAAGCGCCCACCCCTTCAAAATGCAACTGATTTAAAACTTGGTCTTGCGTAAGAATCTTGGTAATCGTTTTTATATGATACAGCGTGGATATCGACCGCTTTGAACATGTTGTGAATGCGTAGACCACAGTAACCAAGCATAAACTACGCTTTGACAATGACTCGTTAATACAAGTAAAATTCTGTAAATATTTCATGCCATATTCAGTTTACCTCTCAAAAACGGCTAGTTACTAGTTTTTTGGAAAAACCATGTCGTTTATTCGCTGAAATCAATTCTAACAGATCGTACTTCAACATCGATAATTCATTGCGTTACCGGAAAGTCTTCGAGAATTTCTGAAGAATTGCATCGGTACAACAAAGCATTCTGATTGGTTAATAACCAACTTGACCCATTAGGTCAAAGGACGCTGCTGCAGGTCAAATCTGCAAATGCATCATGGCGGAAAGTGATTTTCATCTAGAGTTTGCATTGCGTACGATCCAACACCTTCGTCAGTGGAGATAATATGAGAATTTTGACTTCGACTGTGTTCCAACAGACTCTAATGTTTTTAATTTTGTAAATTCTGGTGGTACATAATTAATAATATTGTAATAAAATATGCATATTTTTTGTGATCATTTCTGTTTCTTCATTGTGAAAATCAATGATGACGCAAGTAATTTCGTAATTTGATTTTCCCTCAAAGACGTAATCTGTCCCATGATGAATCATAATTTTCATTTGCACTCTTTATCGAGGGGGGTGCTCAGGTAAAAGCCCACCCCTTAAAAATCAGGATTTTCTGAGTTGAGGCCCCTGGGCGCTTTACGCGGTCGAGTACGGTACATATACTATATCCCTAAACTTAAATCACTGTATATGGTATCCCAAGAATGGTGTTAAATCACTGTATATGGTATACATAGAATGGTGTTAAATCACTGTATATGGTATACAGTACTCATTCCGCCCAACCTCCCGCTTTTATCGCTTTTTTTCGGACCGCTTATCGCTTATTTCCGACCACTCGCTGCTTTCGACCGGAAACCGACCGCTTTTTTTTCGCTCGCTCGCGTTCGCTTTGTCGCTCGCTCGCTTTTTT